CAACTCCCTTTTTTTCGTGTACGAACACTTTTTCAGTACGAGTACTTTTTTTTACTACTACTTTACCGGTTTGGCCAAACTCCGACCCATTTCAATGGCAACAATGCAGTTCCATTTCGTTTAATTTTGTGCCTCGACTTCTTTTTCCTTCCTAGTTTTTTTTCTTCTTCTGTGTTTTACATTCGGTGTTGGTATTTTGGACTTTTTTCTCATTTGTCGTTTGTTTTTGTTTTTTTTTAACTGATTTGGTGCACGGATATGTCTATATATAATACATATACCAGGCTGTCTATACAAAATGTACTATATAGCACTGTTTTTTGTATGGATATATATGTAATCCTGTGTCTGCAGAGTTTTGATTACGACGACAGGATAATGCTCGTTTGTTGGAAAATCACAATTTTAAGGGTGAAATATTTTCATTTGTTTATTTATTTTATTTTATTTTTTTTTATATTTTTTTTTATATTTTTTTTTGTTTTTTATCTACATAAAATCACATTTAAGGGACGTGCAATTCATTATTTAAATCATCTTTAAAAATTAAAATTCTGTAATTTATAATAAAGAATATTTATGCAGTACTGCTGGAAATAAGGTCAACTCTACTTAATGTACGGGAATTTAATATTTATAAATTAAAAATTTAATAATTTAAACGGATATCTTCAAAACAAGTGGAAAAGAAACTAATAATTATAACTATAACTATAATAACTATAGGATTCATTTCTTATCGCATTCTAATCCCTATTATTACATCAGCAAAACCACTCCATATAGCGAAAAGCTTAGGAGTGAATTTTGAAATTACTTATAGCACCTAAGCAGAAAGAAAGGATTTACGCTTTTTTCCCATCAATGATTAATTTCTTGTTTGCTATCCATCAGTATAGTACATAGATAGATGGGAAACTTGTGAGTCTGTTATATTATTTAATCAGGGGTATGATGGTCAGATTAAGACATTGATATTTAATGAGACGGTGACCTGTTTTTTAAAATCAGACATAAATGAATTGATAAGCTCTGCGTGTCGCTTATACCACATCACTGCAGTAAAATTTATATAAAGAAATTTAACAAATCGAGGCTGAGAACATCCGAGAAGAAGTTCAATTAAAGAATAGACTATGTACATATTTTTTTTACGTTGCACTGCGATATAGGAATCTATTGTGCCCCATTTATGGATTTTGAATATATCTCCAAAGCAATTTTCTTCATAAATTGTTGTATGGAATTTACATTTCTTACTTCATTGGTAATTACAGACGTATGTCGTCCTTAACTGCGTCCAGGAGCCTTCTCAAGCCAGCCTGGTCGTTTTTCATCTAGTTCTTTCATAGAAGATGCGAATTTGCTTTACCACTTTTATTACCAGCAATTGTAGTACTTAATTAAAAACCTTTCTAGTCAGACCACTTTCTTTCATATGCACGACATGACCAAGCTAGCCAAGCCCAGCGGCTTTTTATGCACTTAACTATGTCAATGTTATGGTATAGCTCATGCAGCTCATCGTTCCAACTAATTTGATACTCGTTGCCAACGTATAAAGGACCATATGTCTTCCGTAGAATTTTTCACTTGAATGCTCCTTAGGTCTTCTTAACGCTGTTGGTAATTATCCGAGCTTCCGCACCATGCAGAATGGCAGGCATGATTAGAGACTTGTAAAGCATGCTATTTGTTTCTCGAAAAAGAGCTTTATTTCTCAATTGCCCACTTAGCCTAAAGTAACATCCATTGATAAGAGTTATTTTTTATTAAATCTCAACGCTGACATCATTTTTGGTATCGTATATTACAAATATTTATTTCTTCATCCGATATGAAATACCTACTTAGGTACTTCTTTCATTTAAAC